CTCTGGCTTGTTTTTTGGGCAAGTCAGTATGTCAGTATGTTGGGAATGCGCCCATTCCCTCGATTACTTATGGTACAGAAAAGTACCTGAGTGCAACTCCACGCCACGGTGGCTATCGATTTTTCGTCATAGCTGATTGGTCCCCTGTCATTAACGCCTGCTCATGGAGCGGACTGAATAAATGCCCCACATCTTTTTGTAAGAGTGACTTGCTTGCCTAGCTTTTGTTAATACGTTTCTCCCCCTGGCCGATTGACTTCTCTTGTTCTCTCGTGCTGGCCTTCGAGGCAACAGTCGGGCTAACTCAGAGCTCGTGTTAATTACAAGTATCAGGCGCGTGTCGTAACACAATATATCTTGGGGACTTTTTAAAAATTCTGTTTCTAAGTGAACTTTTGTGTGCGTCAGTGAAAGCATTTAGAGCTCCAATTTTTCTCATTTATTGGGACATTTTTTGTGGGCGCAACTCCTTTGCATTCCTACATCAAGTTAGAAGCAGAGACTGTTACTTTTTATTACTGTACTGTAGATCCAACGGCTGGTGGCCTTCATTGACCAGGAGGCAAACACCAAGGTGGAGGAAATCGATGCCAAGGTAGGCAGTCTCTTTCAAAAACTGGTAATTCTTTCCTCCTCCAGGCTGAGGAGGAATTTCAACTGGAAAAATCCCGCCTTGTCCAAAATCAACGCCTCAAAATAATGGACTTTTACGCAAAGAAGGAGAAGCAGTTGGAGCTATCCAAGAAAATGTAGGCTTCCTTGTCCCCCCGCCCCGCCTGACACTATACCCTCTACCTTTTTTTTCAGTCAGGACTCCAACTTAATGCACCAGGCACGTCTTCAGGTGTTGCAGAGCAGGGAACAGTTCATTGAAAAGTTGCTTGCTGAAGCACGTGAGCGTCTCTTCGCGGCCACCCAGCATACCGACAAGTATCGCACCACCCTGGAAGGCCTGATCACCCAGGTATCGTTTCGGCCTCTGCCTCTGCCTCTTTCACTACGTTTTTATTTGGCTACAGACTGGATAGCTCCTAGTCCCTTCAAGCCTTATGGTGATTATGCGACTATCGATTTCGATGAAGTCCAGTGGTACAGTGACGGTGACTGGTTACAGGGTGGGTAGTTTAAAGTGATAGCAGACGTAGTTAGCGCCAACCACACTCTTCACCTTCACCATGGGTCTAGAAGACCAGACTGGATCCGGCATTGGCGGCTTTCTCCAATGCAAGCCAGAAACACCGCCTAACTTAGTCTTCAGTGACTGTAGACTTTGCGCGGGTATTACCGTACTATCTATC